CCACCTGACTTACCACTCCTGCTGCCCTCTCCCTGACTCAGGCCATCTTTTTCCACAGTGTCCCCCCAAATTGCTTCTCTGTTTATGTTCATTTACAGAAATCTGCTGTATAAGCAGTGACAAGTGATAAAAATGATTTGCATCCTGTCTTGTGCTGAGCTTGACTCTAGGATGAGAGTACTTTGGTGAGCTCAGGGCTACAGCCAACAGGGTTGTTGAGGACTCTCTTGTCCAGTGTGTGGTAAGACATGAGCTCAGCTGGTGTGACTCAGTGGTTGAACATCAACCTATGAACCTATAAGTCACGGTTCGATTCCTGGTCAGGGCACATGCCCACGTTGCAGGCTCCATCCCCAGTATGGGATGTGCAGGAGGCACCCGATCAATGATTCTCTCTCATCACTAATGTTTCTCTCTCTCTCTCTCTCTCTCTCTCTCTCCCCCCTTGCTCTCTAAAATCAATTATATGTATATATTTTTTTTTTTAAAGAAAGAAATGAGACGGCCCTGCTCAGGGCTGTTGTCATCTTTCTGAGGCCTGGTTTGCCCACCTGCCTGATTCAGCATGTTTAATCCTGTGATGTTAGCCATAAATCAAATCAGTCTTTTGGGTAAACTCTGTCACCCCATCCACACCTCAGAGCCTAGCTAAGGAGGGCCCCAGACTGCTCCCGGCCCGGCCCCGTTAGCATTCTCTCAAACCTTTGACCTTCTCTCAGGCTCAGTCTCCTAACCTGACTCAGACCTGCTCTCACCACTTCCTCCACTACTGCTCCCTGACCGGGTGGGAGACCTGTGCAAAGCTGATTCACTTTAAGGTGGCCCAACCAGTGTGGGTGCAGAGCACTGAGGCACCTGGCCTGCCAGCCTCAGCCTCCCTAGCCTGGAAGATTCTTGTCTCCCACCCTCTGAAATCCTCCCCATGTTGCAAAACCCAACTCAAATTCTACCACCTCCAGGAAGCTGTCCCTGAAGGAACATTTCTTTCTTGGACAAACATCTTTCAGATGGCAGGCTCTTGTGGTGGCTCCTTTATTCAACCCCACACAGTCTAAGAACATAAGGGGGGAGTTGATACTTGGTGATCGATGGATTAAAAGCCATGGTACAAAGTTAACTAACTACTCACCAACATTTTCCATTTTCTTCCATCTGTAAGCCACAATGTCCCCTCAGTAAGTTCTCATTGTGTAAGATTCAAACAATATAGACTAGAAAACATCAAAATTCTCCTTCATCAGCCTGTTCATTCCCATTCCCCTCTCCATTTTAATTTTCACGAAGTTAAAACTGTCAATCTTTTATCATTTCTAAATATTATGTACCACTTAGAAAGGCCAAATTATAAAAATAATTTTAGTTTTTTTATTCTTGACTGTGAGGGTTTATTTTTAGCCCATAAAGAAGTTTAACTTGGGGTGGTGGGGGTGGTGTAAAATAGTGTAACATTTAGGCAGAAAGGCAGATGTCCCCAAACCACTTATTGAATAGTCTCTTGCCCCACTGTTTCTTAATGCTTATCTTGATCATAAATTCATTCAAGTGGACCTACTTCTGGATTCTCTTTCCAAGATTTCTCCCCTTCTTATTCCTGCTTCATTATCACATGGCCCTGTGTAGAATGCTTTTATGTTGTGATATATGTTAGGGCCCTTGTTCTCTTCAGAACTTTCTTGGCTATCCCGAACACTCTTGAGTTTTGAGCTCTGGTGATGCAAAAGGTCATTAAGCCTAGCAACATACGCCCTGAGTCATCAGGCCTGCTTTGTTGGCCTCATCCCTCTTGGGCTGGAGACACAGCTTAGGTAACACAAGTCTGGTAGCCACTTCTTGCTCTAATCCTTGGTGAAATCCCTTCAGCCACAACCCAAGTCCAGCTGCAGTGAAAACAGCCCTTGTGGTCAGTGTCTAGAATGAGGCTCAGGAGGGTTTGAATTGGAGCTACAATTTCCTAGCTCTGCAAGCTTAACCTCCCAGGGAAGTAATATCCCCACAGGAAATCATACTGTGCTTCACAGTGTAACTGAGAGGAGTCTGTAATTACGTAGGTGTAGCACTTTGTTCATGCCTGGCTGTAGCCCTGAGTATTGGTGACCATCCTTCCATATGAGACAATCCTCATTTGAGTTTGTACAGTGAGACTCATAGCTGCTCCATTTTATTTTTACATTATTTTAAATGTTGTGAGAAGGTCACTTATGTTCTTGCATCAAAGTAATATAAAAACTAAGAGGTAACATCTGAGTGTATATTATGTGCTAAATTTGTTGTGAGCGATTCACACTTACAATCATCTTATGAGGAAATAACTTGCCCAGGGCCACGAGGCTAATATACCGTGAAGCTAGAACTCGACAAAAATTTTGGCTCCAGAACCCACAATATTAACAACCATGCTGAGCTGCCTTTCCCACACATAGTTTAAAAATTTTAACTGGATTATAAGGTTTTTGTAAAAAAAAAAAAAAAAAGCAGTTTTCCACCCCATCAGTGGGGAACCTATGCAAAGGTCCTAGATTTGGCAGCTTCCCCATCCTGTAATGTGAGAGGCTATTGCAACCACACAAATGCTTCATTTTTTGGCATTCCACTATACCACTCAGTCCAATTGCTGGCTCTTGTCTACTTATCAAATTAAATATATCTTCCTTCAAGTTTCCCCAGGATTCTAGGCTCATCTGCCCACTGGAGGTCTTCTTTAGTTTCCTGGAATTTATTTTTGGTGGGTTTGTCACTCTTCCATTTCTCTGCTCCGTTCTGACCATTCTTTAGTGCCTATTTCTCCAGCTATTCCAACTCAACACACATGGTGTTCTGTGCTTAAGACTCTTTTTGTGTATTCTGTCCAGGATTGCAATGTCCAACCCTATCCCCAGGGAAGCAACTATGGAGCTCAAGGAAGAATTGATGTCTATGTATGAAAATAAACGTTCCCCCATCCTCTTATGTCATCCAAACACATTCTTCTTTCATCCTGTAACCTCTGGAGTCAGTGTTGTTTGGAGTTCAAAGGATGGTAACTTACTATTAGCTGAAGGCTTTTCTCAGCAATCTGGAAAAAAACAACCCTTCATTTTATAATTTAGGAGAGAATACCAACAACTCACCTTCTGGCAGAGTTCATGGTCACAATATGAGTTGAAAAAGCCTTTATTCGGTTGTAAGCTAACAGCCAATGCAGTGATACTCTCCTGAAAAGCACTGCTTGGTGTCACTTATCAACCCAGATCAGCTTCAGCCTGTGCAGGGTCCTCCACGCCCCCTGCCTGAGCTGGCCTCAGCCCAGTTCCAGCCTGGCCTGGGCCTAACCAATTGGAGCTGCTGCTCATGAAGCCCACAGCTCTGCCTCTGCTGGCAAGGAGCTGACTGGCACAAAATCCTTCAAACTGTGGTTGTCAAGGTGGGGTGTGTTTACCTCGGGTGATATACAAAGTATCCACTGGTATCATGCAGAAAAAATGATTAACATTTCTAATTTTTTAAGATAAATGAAATTCACTTTTATTACTATTAAGTGACACCCTCACTGGGATCCAAATGTCATGGGTCACCTCTAATAAGATCAGCATTCTACAGTGAGAGGCAAACCCACAGCCTATTATGATGGACTGCAATTTATGTGCTATAGTATGTAGTGGTTCTGTGGTCCCAAACAATGTGTATCCCCTCTAAGAACGCTGTTATTTGTACTTGGAAATCATTTTCTGACCTGTTACAAGTCTTCCAAATAAAGAATTTCAGTGGATTTTGGCTCATTTATTATTTCATTATTATTGTTTTTAATCCTCACCCAAGGACATTTTTTCCATTACTTTTTTTTTTTTTTTAGAGAGAGTGGAAGAGAGGTGGGGGGTGGGGAAAAAGAGAGAGAGAGAGAGAGAGAGAGAGAGAGAAACATCAATGTGAGAAAGAGACATGTCCGAGGATTAAACCTACAACCCAGATATGTGCTCTTGAATGGGAATTGAAGCCATGACCCTTCAGTGCCTGGGCTGACGCTCTAACCACTGAGCACTCTGGCGAGGGCTTGGCTCACCTATTAAAACAGTAAATGCAGCCAAAGAAGCACCAATTCCATTTGGATTTCCAAGTTTTTGAGATGTACTCTTTTCAGTTATGAAGGTCATTGAAACTATCAAAATAAACTTCAGCTAGAATCAGAAATGTTAAGCTATGATTTAAAAAATGTTTCTCACTTTGCTCTCACTATGTTTTTAGCACATAAAGGTATTTTGTACTGTTAACCAATAAAATATTTAGAAACATTTACTTCATCACTAAATCATCCATTATATTTTTAATGTGTAAGTAAAACAAGTAGTAAATATTTATATAATATATAAAAATTTTTAACTGATAAAGCTGTCCAAATATTTGGATACTTAAGACTCTAAGGTTCTGTTTCAGTTACGAGCGCCACATAACAAACCACCCAAACTTAATGGTGTAAGCACCACCCTTTCATCATGCTCAAGGATTCTATGGGTCAGGAATTTGGAAAAGACACAGAAAGGTGGCTTGTCTCTGGTCTGTGATGCCTGGGGCCTCAGCTGGAAGACAAAAGCTGGGTGTTGGAATCATTTGATTCACATGTGAACACCTCTGGCGCTTGATGCTGAAAGTAGTTTGGGACCTCAGCTAGAGCTGCTGACTTAACACTTACACATGGTCTTTCCATGTGGCTGCTTGGGACTTTCTCACAGCACAGTAACCAAATTCCAAGAGTGATTATCTCAAGAAACAGGGCGTGGAAGCTGCCCGTTTAAGGTCTGGGTTTGGAAATTGGCACAGCATCATCTACCACATTCTATTAAGCAATCATGGAGCCAATATTCAAGGGGAGAGGACCTAGAACCCTACCTATCAATAGTGGTAAAGGATTTGGGGAGCATGGTATACCACACAGATCCAAAGGTTGGAGCTCAATCCATTACAGTGGGCTCTCTGGCTGTATACATATCTCCACATTTACAGAGCTTTCAAGTTTCTCTCTTTTTTTTAATTTACTTTTTAATTAATTTTTAAAAAGGAAAGATACTGGGGAGCTAGCAATGCTACAGAAACAGGGTTAGAGGCCTAACTAGAGAAAGACGCTGGTATTGGCAGAGATATTGAAGGGCTGTGAGCTTAAGGTCTGAGATTTAAAGAGAGTTGACTAGGCAGTGGTCACCCTCCCAGCCCCTGCTTGAGGTTTGCTTCAGTTCATTCCAGAAGGAAGGAGAAGGGCAGAGAGGTAGGGAGCTCTCAGCAAAGCCAGCTCCAGCTTGGTAACCTCACCCACCTGCCATTTAAGGAGTTCAGGCTAATAGATTAAAAACAGGTGGCACCCAGACTGTCATTCAGGAGGAGGGAACTCATTCCAGGTTTCCAGAAACTCCCATTTCAGATCTGAGAGTGTCCAGGGCTTCAGCTGAGCTCCTCTGGCCAACCAGTAGTTACTTGGTCAGTCCTGCTGCCTTGACCCCATCTCCAGGAGGGGCTACGGCCAGAGGAGGGAGGGGGGAGTCCAGCCCCCAAGCCTTTTGAGGCACTATCAGGCAGATAAAGAAAAAAAGGGGCCTTGAGGACACTGGTTCTCGGAGGATCTGGTGGAGGCAGCATCTCTTCTGGGCTGGGAACAGCGTGGAGACTTCAGACAGCAAAACATTCCTGTTGGAGCTACAAGCCCCTAGAATTGCTCCATGGCCTGTCTCGGTTTCCCTTGGATCTCATCTGCTCCTGAACAGCACTTGTCATGGCAAGTCCATCTCCGGCCCCCATCTCCCCAGAGCCAATGTGAGTCAGGTGGACAAAATTCACTGGTTCCCCAATCATGGTCCGATCGATCCGTCTCTTCTTCTTCGGCTGGGGTTTCTCTACCACACAGCAGCCCAGTTTGTGCCAAAATTCACTCATGTTCCCTGATGGTTCCGGTTTCACTCTGCTGCCCGAGGCCCCAGAGGGCTCTTGCCCTGGTGCCTTGACCGCCCACTCCTCACTCCCTTCAGGTGTCGCAACCCCTTGGGTTCACACCGCAGGATGGGGCTAGAGAAAGCAGAGTCCTCGGAACCTCAGTTGGGCAGGAAAGGCCCGTGTCTCAGACCCTGAGAAACCAGCAGGGCCAGGGAGTGAGGTGGGGAGGCAGGCGCACGGTTCTCTCCCTCAGGCCTGGAACCCTGCTCGGCTCCGGCATCCGGCATCGAGGCGCCCGGCTAGAGCTGGTTGGGGGGCACCCACTCAGTGCCCGCCAGTGTGGGGTCCCCAGGCTCGCTCCTCGGCGCGGTGGGGAGCCGAGGGCGGGGCCGGCAGATCAAGTTTCTCTTTTGATCTTGTGAAGTACCCTCAGCTTGGTTGGTATTTAAATAACTCAGGAATCTTTCCCCTCCTGGATCCTTAGTGATCTCTATATCATCAACTCAGTTTTCCCACTCTGTTCCCAGATCCCATAGAAAAGGCTCCTTCCCCTGGAGCTGTTCCAACTGAACACAGGCTAAAGATCTCTGAATGTGTCAACTGCTCCCCCCACTCTGCCCCCAGGTTACTGGTAGGCTGTCTTTCCAAAGGACACTCACAAACCCAATTTCCAGCTTCTATCTGGGAGGGAGAGTAGGGGGAAGGAAAGGGGAAGATGGAAGAAATGGGTTTAGCTGAGTGACCTGATCACAGGAAGTCACGGTTCCTTTGCAGAGACCACTAGCTGGATGGCAGTCTTCAGCCTAGGAGACCACAGTGAGAACTTGAAGTTAAAGCAGATGCCCAGGACAGGGAAGAACTGGAAATCATATCTAAAAGGAGAGATTGGCCCAACTGGCGTGGTTCAGTGGTTGAGCATCAACCTATGAACCAGGAGGTCACAGTTCGATTCCTGGTCAGGGCACATGCCCGGGGTTGCAGGCTCGATCCCCAGTGGAGCTGTGCAGGAGGCAGCCAATCAATGATTCTCTCTCACCACTGATGTTTCTCTCTCTCTCCCTCTCCCTCTCCCATCCTCTCTGAAATCAATAAAAGTCTCTCTCTCTCTCTCTCTCTCTCTCTATATATATATATATATATATACACACACACACACACACACACACATATATTGATTTTTTTTTTTTTTACAGAGAGGAAGGGAGAGGGATAGAGAGTTAGAAACATCGATGAGCGAGAAACATTGATCAGCTGCCTCCTGCACACCACCTACTGGAGATGTGCCCGCAACCAAGGTACATGCCCTTGGCCAGAATCGAACCTGGGACCTTTCAGACTGCAGGCCGACACTCTATCCACTGAGCCAAACCGGTTAGGGCAATAAAAGTATATTTTTAAAAATAAATAAATAAGCATAAAACTAAAAGGAGAGACTGAAGGGTTTCTTAAACCACAGAAGAAAATACGCAAAGTAGAAAGTGACAGTGTCTTCATATATTTGATTGCTTGTCAGAGGGAAAAGAGAGACCAGAGGGCAAGAACAAACAAGTCAGAGTTTCAAGGAGGCCAATTTCCAAAGGTTATTTTATGGCAGTTTAGGGGAGAGATGATGGCTGCAATGAAAAAATAGATCAGAGATACATTTTAGAGAATGACTTGACAGGACTTGATGAGAACTACCTGGGGAAGGCAAGGATGAAGGCGAAGGTGATGTCAAAGGCTTGGATTTTAGGGTTGGACATTTAGAATAACTTCTAAGTTACCTCCTATCCCTCAGATATTGAGAGTCTATAAAATTTCAAATTATTACAGGTGTTTTGGGGATGAGGACATGAAATTACCCCTGGAAAGAACCCTTACGTGAAGGATGCCAAGATATGTGGGATGGGCTGGCCTGGCCTCAGTGTAGATGGGACAGAAAGGTCAGGATACTTACTACCTTTCCTCTTCAACCTAAACTGTTCTCAGTAGATAAACTTAGTCAAAGGCAGCCAGTCTCTCCCGAACTTCTCTGCCCCACCCAGTTTCTCAGTTACCAAGCAATAGATCCTTGAGAGCCAGTGTACTACTACTAAGCACCTGGGGTGTGTGCAGTGTCATATCTACACATACCATGGGGCTGGGCAGGGCCATTTAAGACACTAGCAAAGACCTGATCTCCATCAGTTTAATAATCTCGAGCCACACCTGAGAAGCAGCTGATGCAAACGTGTTTATTGAGCTAATAATCAGGCACAAAAGAGGCTGGGAAAGATGTTCCAAAAATATAGGAAAACTGTTAGGCTCTCTCCATTCAACTCAAATACTGAGGTGAAGCCCCACCCCTCTAAACACAGTAGGGAATAGGCACTCTGCTCAAACATAGAGGGACAGAGCCAGGGTGCATTAGGAAGGATGGGACTTAAGGCTTCTCTATGACAACAACATCAGGGAAAGCATAGGTTAGAAAGGCAAAGCCCACCTCTTCTTTCCCTCAGAGACCAGGGGCAGGGCCTGGAAGTAATGATTCCTTTTGCGTCCTTTTCCTGTTTGCCTTTTCCAAGTGGTTATATTGTTGAGGTGTCGGGTGGAGATGGAGAGGGGCGCAGAGTCATGTCAGAAATCCTGTAATGAGAAACAAGGAAGGCACAGGGCAAAGATATGACGGCATGGTCCTCAGATGACAACTGCCCTCCTGACTTCCTCCCAGGGCTACTCCTAAAGCTCTGGACACAGCTGAGCGGGCAGGCCATGGGCTGTGGCCTTTCCACCTATCTGACAGATACACAAGTTACCTGCCAGAATCTCCCAAGGACACACACTCCTCTTAACCTGCCTTCCACAGTCTGTTTTGGGGCCACTCACCTCAATGTTCAGCTCTGTAGAATCTAAGAGGTCCAGCCCAGGCTCATGGGGGGAAGAGTGCTAGAGAGAATGTGGTCAAAAGTCAGAAAGGTCCTTCCCTATTCCCATCACATGGCAATCAATCACAAAGTTTCCTGTCCAATAACAAGTGTAAGGGCTGCAGTAGGTCTCTGAAGCAGTCAGGAAGGGAAGATTAGCAAAAGCAGGGTGGGCAGGAGGTTCAAACCTAGACTTCCCAAAGTCATCAGAGAAGTGCCTCTTCTTCTGACCTGCAGACTAAGTCCCTTAAATTCATTCCATTTTGGAACCTGAGAACGAAATTTTCCCTGAGGGGATTTTAGGAAAGACTACAGAATTTTAATAGACACCTTGCTCTCTAGTCTCTGGTTTAAATATGTCATTGTCTATTTCTTCCTTCTGAGCATAAGACCTCCGTTCCTCTGCTTAATTCCATTCTTTCTCCCTCTTCAAAGAACAGATAAGAGAGCAGAATAATATCAGCAGTGGGCACATAATCCTTTTCAGTTTATGATCCTTTCTGTATTTTTTCATTTTGAATTTTGTGTAAAAGCTCCATTTTAAAGATGAGGAGGTTCAGAGGGGTTAAAGAGCTAACTTGATAAAGTGGTGAAACCATGCTTTTCCTACTAGACTGGCAGCATTTCCTCCTGGGGAAGCAATCAGGCTGGGGTAAAAAGGGAGTGAGTGGAGGAACAGAGTGGGGCAGCCCTTTAAGAAGACAGGAAGGAAGGCAGGATGCCCATGTTGCCGTGCCTGTGCTCATACATTATGAAGAGACTTATTGAATGGGCTGCAAGGTTGGACTAGATGACCTTCTATCTCTAGTTCTAGAACTCCTTTCACTTCTTAGATTCAGAGGAAGAATGCTTATTTGGAGATTGAGAGGGGGAATGCTATTCCAGTACTTTTTGGTATTTTAAAATTTATTTTCCCTATTTCTTTAATAAAGATAAAGTCCTAGCAAAATGCAAAGCAACTTACAAACCTCCCTCCTTTACTCTGTGATACTTTCAAAAAGTCCTAAGTAACGTTCAGAGACAAAGGCATCATTAGGACTGATAGAGCAGAGTCACTCTAGTTTCTCTTTCTCATATTTGCCTCTAGTTCTAGAGGGAGAAGGGAATGCTGGGTCCACTCACCTTGTCTAGATCTTGCCATTCTTCACCTGACTCATGCTGAGTTTCTACCTCTCCTCTGTCTTCGTCCTCTTCCATAAGGCTGAGTCTGAGGGCAATGGTATAGAGGTTTCCAAAGTGTTCTTTAAAGGCCCCGGAGAGTGTCTCAGAGGCACCCCAGGGGAGCAGGGGTAAGCAGTAAATAAAGCAGGGCTTTAGGTTCCCATTCCTGCTTTAATCAGCAGCCCTACCCTTATTAGTTTTACATATTAGGGTTCCACATTAGAAGGAAATGTTCAGTGGCTAAAACAATTCCAAAAAGCATCAGCATAGAAGCATTGGATAAGGGGAGAATCCCTTCATTGTGGGTAACAGATCTGAAGTGAAGATAGAAGATGAAAAGAAAAGCTCACCGGGTCAGCTTTTTACCCAGACCAGGACCTGAAGGGTTGAATGGAGTCTGGGAATGCCGTGGACTCAAGAACCTTGACCTCTGGGTGCCTGAAAGGAGTTGGCTGTTGGGAATAATGCAGGATCAATGACAGTAAATAAAAGTAAAGGGAAAAAGAGGAAGTAAGGTGGCCAGCATTAAAGAGGAGAAAAGCTCAGAGTACAGGGGAAAAGATAAAATGTAAAGCTAAAAAAAAAAAAAGGAGGAGGAGGAAAGGATTGCATAAGGACCCAAGAATGAGGGAGTGGTGTAGGGGAGAACAAAAACAGTAAGACAGAGATGGTAAGACACCAAAGTGGCAAATCAGACACCCAGATTCTCTCCCTCAGTCCTCACCGTTGGGTAAACTCTGATTCTGAGCTGCCTTCGTCTTCCATCTCTTCCAGCCCCTCCAAGGGCTGCCTATTCTTCACAGCTGTGGAGGTGAGGGTGGGTGTGGGTGGGATGCTGTTCAGCTGTAGGCTTTCCTCCTGGGATGAAGAGATGTCCTCTCTTTGCTGCCTGGAGGAGCCTGAAAAGAAGCAGATGTCCATATATTAACTGTAGACCAGGTACTGCCACAAATGTTCTTACTTTTCAAGACCTGCCCAGGATTTGGTTAGAAAAAGTTAAGAAGGGAATGGAAAACCTATATGGCCTCATTATGTAATGACTAAAATATGAGTGTAGCCCTATGTACTGACAAGGCTTATAGAAGTACATATATC